GCACAGAGGAGCCTGGTGAGCTACAGTCAGTGGGGCTCCCAAGAGTCAGACACCACTGAGTGACTAAGCGCACACACTACATAAGTAATTTATATGTAATTTATGAAACAAACCTAAAAATGTTTATGTGGATTTTTGCCTGATATTTCAGGGACTTAGTAAAGTTCCCTTTTAAATAACTTTGTGTCCCTGGATTTTCAAAAAGGCTACTAATAATTTTTTTCAAATGAATTTAATGTAGACACACAAATAGTTTTAGGAGTCAGAAATAAACATATAAATAAAATAATGGTTAGGGTGCATGGCAGCATCATGCCAAAAAAACCAGGTGACTGATTTACATTTCACTTCTCAATGGTCTGTTTTAGCACTGTGTAGATTAATACAATCCTGACTTTCTGCTTTACCTAAGAAGGCATATTTGAAATTATGTAGTTTCATTAGCTTAGAACAATCTAATGCACTCATACAATTAACCAGAACTAAACCTGAAACAGAAGACTTTAAAAATATATATTCTTGATTTTTGGAGTTAAAAGATTCCAAAATAACAAAGCAAATAACAGAATTTATTTTTTAAAATCACTGTTTATCTGTGTTATCAACAATGATTCTCCAGGGGTAATGCAATTAATAAGGACAACTGTGTTTTTCTTACAATGTAAGTATCTGAAATATAGCCCTGTTCTCTTGGAGTTCTGCTCCTTCGGATACTGGCACTGATCAGAACTGTTCACATCCCAAAGGTATATAAAGTGTTGTTTTAGGCTATCCTCTGGGATCCCAGTCTCTTAAACCTTCATTTGAGGTATTCTTTTTTTTTTTTTTCAAGATTCTCAGGAGAGCTTCTTTTTTTAAAATTTATTTGGCTGCGCTGGGTCTTAGTTTCAGTTCTTATGGTACTCAGGATCTGGTTCCCTGACCAGGGATGGAACCCCGGCCCCCTGCATTGGAAGGCACAGAATCTTAACCACTGGACCAATGGACAAGTCCCTTGAGGTACTCTTACTGTTAATTCCCAACAATGCTAACAATGCCAAATCTCCAATACTGATAATAAGATGATTATTTTGATGACTTAAAATTATGGCATTGAAATATTTGTTAATGGATCTTTGATCATCAAAGTAAGGCCCAGTAATACTATGTGGTAAGACAGAAAAATAGTCATTTTGGAACACTCTTTAACTAAAGGTTACAGTACCTTTTGTAGATTAAAAAGTACAAATAATCCGAATATTTCTTTGGCATTAGATTAATCAACAACAGACTTAATATTTAAGCATTTTGGTAGTATCTGTAAAATAGTGTTACAGTTTCAGTTATGTACACAGAATCTCTTTCCTCTGCATCGCCACAGCACAGGGTTATAGTCTCTTATGGCATGTACAGCATTCTCTCTTAAAATCGTTGTTGTTCAGTCGCTAAGTCCAGTCTGACTCTTCTGCGACTCCATGGACTATAGCCCGCCAGCCTTCTCTGTCCATGGGATTCGCCAGGCAAGAATACTGGAGTGGGTTGCCATTTCCTCCGTAAGGGGATCTTCCCAACTCGGGGAATGAACCTGCATCTCCTGCATTGGCAGGCAGATTCTTTACCGCTTAGCCACTGGGGAAGCGGAGAAAGCAATGGCAACCCACTCCAGTACTCTTGCCTGGAAAATCCCATGGATGGAGGAGCCTGGTAGGCTGCAGTCCATGGGGTCGCCAAGAGTCAAGAGTAACTTCACTTTCACTTTTCACTTTCATGCATTGGAGAAGGAAATGGCAACCCACTCCAGTGTCCTTGCCTGGAGAATCCCAGGGACTGGGGAGCCTGGTGGGCTGCCGACTATGGGGTCCCACAGAGTCAGACACGACTGAAGCGACTTAGCAGCAGCAGCAGCACTGGGGAAGCCTGTGTCTTATAATACTGTTATTGTATTTCTGTCTTTTTCTCCATTATATGTTCATTTAGGGCAAGGATTGAGTCTTATCCTTAATTGTATTCACTCTCTTAACAGTGCTTTGCACATAGCAGGCACTCAGTAAATAATTTTAAAATAGACTAGTCATCTGTTCAACCACCAATTTCATTTTTTAGTATTTATTTTTATTTATTTATATGCCCAGGTCTCAGTTGTGGCACCCGGGATCTCTGATCTTCCTTGCCAGCATGCAGGATCTTTAGCTATGGCATGTGGGTCTAGTTCCCTGGCCAGGAATAGAATCCTGGTGTCAGTGCATTGAGAGCACAGAGGCTTAGCCACTGGACTACCAGGGAAGTCCCTCAATTTCATTTTAAGAGGTAATCTTTGACCATCTTTCATTATCCCTATAAATGTCTTTTAAAACAAAAATAATTGATTCAGAGGACAAATGAGATTTAATTTTCCTTTAAAGAGTTATAAGACTACAAAAACATTTGGTATGGGAATTAGGGCAAAAAAACCTCTTGCTAAGCTTATTGTTACATGAAAATTATGGTTTTAGCATTCATGAAAATTATGGTTTTAACGTTACTCATTCAAAAAAGCACTGCAAGAAACAAAAGTGAAAAACAACTGGATTTCTCATATGATTTCTCTCTCCCACAAAGAGGCATTTAACAGATGCCTTTTGTATTAAGCCTACTTCATGTTGAAATAAACTTTCTTAGAGTATAATATCAAGTCAAAAGAAATCTAATATAAATGATACATTTGAATAGCAATCTAAGGTACCTAATATTAATCTAATATTAAGATTAATAACATCTAATGGTTATACAAAACCCCTTAATTAGTAATGGACAAGTTTCCAGCTGAGGTTATATAACACATGAATGGAATGGAATAGGCTATCATAATTATGAATAAATGATACTTCAAATTTTTACACTTAATATTTAAACTAGTTTGAGTATCATCATGTTGATTGGCATTTGCAAAGTAAGTTTTGTTAAAGCTTACCACAGAATTTTAAGTTCAGTTAATATTAGAGGATGTATTTTACCTTCATTTCAATAATGATTATTTAATAATTTGCTGAACATTGATACACTTAAGGGAAAGTCTTAATTTTATATCTGTGTGTGTGAAAATGTTTCAGAATAGTAGAATAAATATTTCAAATATTTAATTTTAGAAAATATAGGGAAGGCGATTCATTTTGAACAGAAAGCCTGATCGATGTAACATTTTAAAACAGATCTAGCAGAAAAGGGTGATGAGAATCTAAATATTGCAATATAGGTAATAAATCATAACATATAAACCATATTAAACAAAACCCCGACCAATTTTGTACATTACTACCTACATGTAATGTAAAAAATATTATACAAGAGGAACTCTCTCTCTCAGCTAATTTTGTACATTAAAGAATTTGAATATAGTATTTAATCCGAACACAATATACATGCCAATTTATTATGAAAATTACATAAACTCATTGTAGTTTTGCTAACATTCTTGGTAGTTGCCTAGTCTATGATAGTTAACATTAAAATGGACTTAAAATTTACCATATGGGGATGCAGAACGGTCTCATTTTACAAAAAAATTTCAACATTGGTTTCCTAGGGTGAGTTAGCAACAGATAATTCCATCACCGTATTTAATTCGTGAAACTAAAAAAATTGACAGAAATCACAAGGGGAAACATAATTATGTAAATTTAAAACCCTCAAAGGCTCTGATAACTAAAAATTATCAAGATGTGCAACCAGGCACTCCGGAAAAATTTCTCATCTAGGAAAGGTATCCTGTAGTTTCCATCATCCTATAAGGGACATGAGACTCCCCCTACCCAAGCCACCCCAGGTTTAAGCCACTACCTGCAAACCGTTAAGGAGTAACCTAGTGCAGTGGGGACCTCCCTGCCGGTGACTTGGGCGAAGATCGCTCTCCGGGTCTGTCCCCTGCCTCACCGGAAAGGTGCGGTGAGAGCTCGCTGGTATCTGCACAAGCAGTGGCAGACTAGGCAGGGCAAGGTGCCTTGCTCCAGGGCCCGGCTCCTCAGTGCCCTGCCCGCCTACCTTGACCGGGTGTAGGTAACCATCTCCGCGAAGGGCGCCCAGTCCTGGGTCCGCCGGCGCCTCGGCGTCGTCCTGCAGGCTACGGGTGAGGTGCGCAATATAGGTGGTAGCCAGCAGCAGCACGTCCAGCTTGGACAGCTTTGTGTCCGGCGGCACCGACGGCAGCGTGCGCTGCAGCTCCAGGAAGGCGTGCCGCAGAGTCTGCACGCGGCTGCGCTCCCGCGCCGCGTTCGCTGCCGCCGGCCGCCCGCCTCCCGAGCGCGCGCCGCCGCCTGGGCCCGAGGGTCCCGGCCCGGTCCGTCCGGGGCTCAAGTCTCGGGCGGTGGCTACCAGGGGCGCGGGCTCGCTGCTGGCGATCAGGGGGCTGCCTGCGGGGCCGCCGCGGTCCATAGCGGCTTCCCTGCAAAGGACGGAAGGCGCGGTGAGGCCGGGGAGCTGGTCGAGCTTAGCCCGGGTGGGAGCGCAGCCCTCTCGCTCCCCCTGTGCGCCCGGCCCGACCATACGATGTTGTTCGGGGCGATCTCAGAGTTGAGCACCTTTTGATTGGGGCACTTTTGCCTCCCGTCGTCTGGGGACAGGGGTCCGGAGGATTCCTAGACTGGTTAGAAGGCTCAGGAGGGCCCCGGTACCAACCAGCCGTATGTGCTGGGCTTAGTCGCTCAGTCTTGTCCGATTCTTTGCGACCCCATGGACTGTAGACAACCAGGTTCCTCTGTCCATGGGATTCTCCAGGCAAGAACACTGGAGTGGGTTGCCATTTCCTTCTCCAGGGAAATCTTCTTGACCCAGGAATCGAACCCAAGTCTCCCCATTGCAGGCGTATTCTTTACCGTCTGAGCCTCCAGGGAAGCCCAACCAGCCTTACTTTCCACCGCCAATTTAGTCAAGAGGGCTACGATACTGGGGGAAGGAAGATTTCAGGTTCAGAACTTATTCGCGCGTCTGGATTATTTACCTGCCCCTCCCGCGGGAAAGATGGAGCGGGTCAACTCGTAGAACACGCCATGGCCCGCGGTGCCCGCACCGGCCGCCCTCGCATTATGCGTTCCGGAGGCTGGGGGTCCCCAGGGGCGACGGTAGGAGCCCGGGGCGGTTTCTGCCAGAGCGAGGGACCTGTGGCCTCACCTCAGACTAAGGCACCCGCCACCCGTCCAAGTCCGGAACTGCGCGGCAGGGGTCGGACCCGGGTCCTCACCTTTCCTGGAGGGGCTGTGCGAGGTTCGGCTCCCCTGCGCGGGAAGAGAAGCGTCGAGCCGGGTCTGTGTGGCCTGGACTGCGCCGGTCACTCCATCTTCGTCCAGCGGATCGGGTGCGCCTTTTATGCGGGCTCGTGCGAGGCGAGGACTGCTGGTGGGCCAAGCTAGGCGCCGGGACTACCACGGCAGGACCCGCCGACGTCCTCCGGCACCTGTGGTGCAGTGCTGTGCGGCTGCGAGCTTCGGGAGCCTCTCTGCTTCAGGAGACTCATTAATCAAACCGTCCGGTGGGGCGGGGCCAGAGGGGGCGGGGCGTCTTGCTGGCCACGCCCTCCCGCGTTCGGGTTCTCCCCCAGGTCGGGCCCCGAGAGCGGTACGTCAAGCGCCCGCTGGGTTGGCGGCCGGCTGGGCCGGAGTCGCGGCCTGGGCTCTAAGGACCCCAGCGCGGCCTCGCGAGTTACCTCGTCTAGCCGTGGGCCTTCCGCCTCGGGCCGAGGCTGAGCCCCGGGCGCCTTCCTGACCGGCGCCGGGCCGAGGCGGGAAGGCGGCTATTCTGTGGAACGCGCCTTAACTTTCGGTGAGGGAGTGTGGCGTGTGCCGCCTCGACGCGCTCACCGTTTGCTCCACCACAAGATTAACGTCTCCTGCCGTCGTGACCGCTTGAAGCGTAGTCCCGCCGCCTCGGGACTCCGCGACCAGTGTATTGAGCAGCCCGGAGGTAAACTGCACTGAGTTCGAGCGTGCCCACGGTCTGTGGTACTTGTAATTCCCCCAGTGGCAATCGCTTCTTCCCGAGGCTGGCACCTCCATCGTCCCATCCCCCCCACCCCCACCCCGGGGCCCCGCTTTGTTTCACTAGTTGGAACGGATTTGGGAGTTTCCCTTCGGGGAGCTTGCCCGAGGTGTACCCTCGTGGCCTCCGGGGAGCGGAGATGGTGGCCGTGTGGGGAGGGGCTCCGTCCAGGCTCCCTGAGAAAAGGGGGCGCTGCCCGGGGAAGCCCGGGCCCTGGACGGCCCCGACCTGGTGTGGCTTCCGCTTGTTTGGAACCATCGCCTTCACAGGTGAAGTTTGAGCAAACGCCCAATAGTTCCCAGCAATGTGATTAATGCATCCTTGAAAACAGTGCTTGCGTCAGTCTTCTTTGGGGATCGCGACAGACTATCGAATTTAAAATATCCTTAATGAAACCGTTCTTGTACATGTGACATAATTTCATCCTTTACCATATATTTAAAAATTGGAGCTACCAACAAGTACAGGGCTTTCCTGGTGGCTCAGTGGTAAAGAATCCACCTGTCAATGCAGTTTGATCCCTGGGTCAGGAAGATACCTTAGAGGAGGAAATGGCAACCCACTCTAGGATCTGCCTGGAGAATCCTCATGGCCAGAAGAGCCTGGCGGGCTACAGTCCTTGGGGTCTCCAAAGAGTCAGACACGACTTAGCGACTAAATAACAAACCTAGTACATAGTAACGGTGGCATTTACTTTATTTGAGTATAAAGTTCCACACACTTTAAGTTTATTAGTAACTCAGAGTAATCTCAGGTTTTCATCTCAATTCCCATTCGATAAATATAGTCAGATTTACACTTTAAGATAAAGAAGCACATCAAAATACCGTGAGTTCAAAAAACGATTACTTTTGATGAATGAGAAAGCACATCTTTATTTCCCCAGAAAATTGTATGTAATGAGGAATAAAGCAATTGTAAAGGACTGTTTCAGATTCTATAAAGAAGCAGATCAAACAGGAATTGCAAAGGTTTTTCTTATATAATGAGACTGTAAAGCTACAAACCACAAAAAGATGATGTTGCCTAGTACTATAAAGGTAAAGAATGAAATGTTTCAGATCAGTGAAGGTTGAATTTACTGGTTTTTTACAAACAAATTTTCTTTTACTTTCAAATTATGAAGAAGGTGAGGTTCACGTACATCATTTTTTGTCAGCAAGCTTTCAGATGCCTTCAAAGAGAGATTTCTGTATTGACAGAGAAAAAAAAAACAGCATTTAAATTATTTCAAAACTGAAAGTTATCCAAAACAGGTAGGAAATGTATATAATCCAGGACACATTAACAACAGTGAAGGCTAATTAGTTACTAAACTGTGAATCTTCTCAGGCTTTAAAGAAAGCAGAAACAAAGATTGTGCCCCTGAGGTAGGGAAGAATGAAGAAAATCTGTGAGTTGGGAGAGGTGTGGAAATAACAATATTGGAGGGAAAGTAGGGGCCAGGACTAGAGTAGGCAGCTTAGGTGCTCAGGGCTCCTTATATTTTGCACCCGGGCATCTCACAAGCCTCCCCCTAGCCTAGACTGCTAGAGTCTTCTGCTACTCTAGGAGTTGGGGTGAACAACGTGCAGGCACTTCACTGCTAACAATGACTGGCCAGTTGCCCAGCAGGTTCGAAAGGACTGATGTAACAAGACCCACCACCTCAGGCCACTCCCTTGTCTTGTCTGCCGCTCTAAGCAGCCTCTGAATCCTTTGATGACTCTAGTCCTAATTCCTGCAAGACTCCAGTATTTGCAATTAAAGTTGAAATGGAGAATAAACATCTTCAAATTTTCAACATTACATAAATTAGTAACAGGTATCTTTTTAAGTGCTAAGTGTTTTTACAGAAAGCACTTTTCTCATTTAGTCTTTACAAAAACTCTTTGAGGACCTTATAGTTGAGAAAATAAAGCTAAGAGAGTTGAAGTAAGTTGTCCAAGGTCACACAGCTAGTAAGTGGCAGAGACAGGATTCAAGCCAGGTAGATTGACCTTAACATTTGTGCTTTTTGCCATACTATTTTATTTACTATTTGTAGGGATCTTCATTATTTGCAAAACATTTTTTTTTGGTATCTTATCTCAGTAAAGAGCATTAACTTGAATCCTTATTAACAATCCAAATACTATTTTCATAGTACATCTTTCTTTGAAATTCTTGCCTAATCTGGTTTTAAAGTGCTATAGATTTTATTTCACTGAGTGTGATTAGGCCTTTTAAAAAGATATTTATTTATTTGGCTGCATCAGGTCTTAGATGTGGCATGCAGAATCCTTATTTGCAGCATGTGGACTCTTTAAGTTGCAGCTTGTGAGATCTAGTTCCTTGCCAGGGATTCAAAGACTGGGAGTTTGGAGTCTTAGCCACTGGACCATCAGGGAAGTCCCAGTGTGATGTAGGTGTCAAAATCATGCTTATCTTTTTTTAATATGTGTCAAATAGTTTGTTATCTTTATAATGTAAAATGATCACATATACCAGTGAAGAAAACATATTGTTTTGTTATCTATCTGTATCAGTGGGCTTTATACAGTTGGTGCTTTTTTCACCTTTCAACTATTTCCTTCATTGTTTAATTAAGGTATAATTTACAGGCTTAAATTCAGTCCCTTGAGTATATAGTTCAGCAGTTTTGATAAAACATTTATAGTCATGTAACTACTACCACAATAAAGATATGCAACATTTCATCACCCCCTCAAAACTCCCTTGTGTTGACCCTTTGTAGTCAACCCCAGGTCCTCAGCAATTGTCTCTGCAGTTTTGCCTTTGCCAGTAGGTCATGGAATCATACACGTGTACCTTTTAATTCTGGTGTCTTTCATTCAGCATAGTGCTTCTGAGGTCTGTGTCATTTCACATATTGCTAATTCATTCCTTTTTAATGCTGAGCAGTATTCCATTGTATGGATGTACCACAGTTTGTTTATCCATTCCCTGCTGAGGAACTTTTGGGTTGTTCCCAATTTTTGGTGATTCTTAGTAAGCCACTAAAAACATTAGGGTTCAGATTTTTGTGTGAGTATATGTTCTCATTTCACCTGGGGAAATACTTAGGAGTGGGACTGCTGAGTGTGTTGAGTGTGTGTTTAACTTTGTAAGAATATGTCAAACTATTTTCCAAATTGGCTGAACTATTCTTTTTGCATCCCCACCAGTAGTGCATGACAGTTCTGGTGGCTCTATATCCTCGTTAGCATTCATTACTTGATTTTTTTTCTTTTTACCCACTGTAATGGACATTTAAAAAAAAATATTGATCCAATATTTACAACATTTTAAAAATCAGATGATTCCACAATCTAGATATCTTGCTTGCCAGATAATCTGATTTCCCAAGTTCAACTTGCCTGCCTGGCTGTAGTGTTTTGGAGCCGAGTAGCTACAGTTGCCTTTAGTTGGACAGCATGCTCTCCAGTTTACCTCAGTCACATTCTCACCTGCTTCCTTTACTTATTTTATCTGCTTTTACTTTAGGGTGTTTTTGAGACCCCCTGGCAATGTAAAGTTTTTGAGACACCCCTGGCAGTGTAATTAAGAACTTGACTTTTGGAGTCAGTGACCTGGATTCATGTCCCAGCTCTGCCTCCTGGCAATCCTGTGACATTGTGCTCCTCTGACTGTGTTTCTCCAATACTTATTTTCCCTATGTACAAGTTGGGTCTGATAGTACTCTTAACTCAAAGGGTCCTACTGTGTTTTATAATTTATTTGGGTAATAAAGACTAAGCTTTCAGAATAGACATTTTAAAATGGAAAAAAACTAGTACAGTTCTTATAATTTACATAATTCTTGTTCATAGAGTAAGCCATTGACAGAGTTGAGACTAGACGTCACAAAAGCTAGCTTAGACTGTTCTAAAAAAAGTTTTGTTGCTCACTACTATTACTTTCTTTTTTTCTTTTTTTTTTTTTTAGGGAGGTGGGTGTTCTCCTAATTTCAAAAGGGTTCTTTGAGAACTGCAAACCAAAATCTTAGCATTATACCTATATTACTGATGCATACAGTTATTTTGCATATAAAAGTTAGTTAGGCCGAGGCTGGACTTGAGATGGCAAAATTAAAAGTAGTTAGAGCTTTACAAATGAGTTTATATAAGATCATCCCAGAGTTTCATGACTAAAAGTATTATCTAAGTTTTAAAAAATTCTTCTTGAAGCACATAGGAGATCTGTTATTACAACTGTTCAAACATAGCATAGCCTTAACAGTGGTAAAAGCAAATTATTTTTTTGTTTTTAAAGGTCACTTTTTAACTCAAAGAAACCCAATGCTTTCATTTCTAACTAAACTTAGTAGGTATTTTATAAATAGTTAAATAACATACAGTGAACATTTCCTATGAATTATAGGTCCCAGGGATTCACATTCCTTAAAGGTATCTGAACCTAAAGGCATTCTAACCCAGCTAGGAAGTTATTATTTTTACATTAACAGAAGGGATGGATTGACTCTATTGACATTACTTGGGCTTGAAAGATAGTTAATCAAGTAACAGTTTGCTCTTTTCATTGTACCGTGCTGTGGGTACTGTATTCTCAGTGGATCTTATTTACAATGTATAAATGTATTTAATGCCTATTTTTAAATTACTGAGGCTCAAATACCTCCTAGCCAGCTTGAAAAGAGAGGAAACATCTGTCAGAAGTATTTACTGTGACAAACAGAGAAAGAGGCAATAATTTGCACATTTTTTGTTCCATACCACATACTATTTTTAATTGAACAGTGAAGGCATTTGTTTAGAATCAGCCTTTAAATAAAAAAATAGTGTTGAACTAATCTTTAATTAAAGTGTACATTGATAGTATCAAGTTCAGTTTGGGGGTCAACAGCAACGTCAATGAGTCTGACTTTTTCCTCCCTGTAGGGAAGGCAGGCTTGTGTAAATATACATGAGCACAGACGGCATGCATTTATAAAGGAGGTGGAAAACATTCCCCTGTCATTGGACAGATGTTGCTTCACTGTTCTACATAGGACACAGGCACAGCTCTCAGTGTGTAAACCTTAAAGGAGTGTGTAAACCCTTAAAGGGGCTTATACTTCTAGAGTTTTGGAAGAAGCCTCTAAAGCTCCTTTCCACTTCTGATCAGGCTCCCTACCTTGAATCTTAAATGTAGACTGTAGGGGACTCTCCTGCTGATACCAGCTCATTAACCCTCCCCTTCAAGTAATTAAGGGAGGAAGTTGATTTAATCAACTTTTTAGAAACTAAAAATCTGTTCTTAAGAGCTGTGTATTTTAATGCTTTGCTAACTTTCTAACTTTATTCTCATTGTCTCCTGGTGGTGGTGGTGTAATTGCTAAGTTGTATCCTACTCTTGGGACTCCATGGACTGTCTCGTAGCCTTACACTAAATTAGTAAAATGTTAGCAAGAGGCACACTCAAATAGTCTATTATCAAGAGCTTAATGAAATTCCATAGTAGGTTTGGTCACCTTTGATTGAAGGTGTTATTAACTGGTGATATTTCCGTTTAATAAGACTTAAATCATTTGTGATAACCAGATCAATGTTTTGGCGTGCCCTCAGTGAAAATGTGCCCTGAGAAGATAAAAAATATTTAAAAGAAAATGTTGGGGCTTCCCTGGTGACTCAGGGGTAAAGAATCCACCTGCCAATGCAGGAGACATGGCTTTGATCCTGATCCTGGAGGATCCCACCTGCCGTGGAACAGCTAAGCCCGTGTGCCACAACTATTGAGCCTGTGCTGGAGAGCCTGGGAGCCCCGCCTACGGAAGCCTGTGCCCCTGGAGCCTGCGCTTCACAAGGGAAGCCACCACAGTGAGGAGCCTGCACGCTGCGGCTAGAGTAGCCCCCACTCTCCGCAACTAGTGGAAAGTCCACGCAGTGATGAAGACCCAGCATAGCCAAATATAAATAAATGAAAATACAAAATAAAACTTAAGAATCAGGATGAACATAATCAGCTTCACTGACAGTGGCAAAAGCAGGACAATATATTCTCACAGGAACCCCTCTATGCTGGTGGTTTCTTTAGGGTAGCCTATCTCAACAGTACTTAGTATTGGTAGTTGAAAATGCATTTAGCTTGTGTTTAGCATTCCTAGTTAGGAACTAGGGTTTGTCAGTGCAGTCCTAGTGACTAGAGCTTTGTTTGGGGCTGCAGAATATATGGTACGTGCTCACAACTGATCTAACAGTATGTGTGGCAATGTACAGATATACCAATATTCTTTTCTGAGGCTGTGTCCATTTTTATTGTTTCCTTTTTCACCTTGATGATACACTAGCAAGACCTTTCAAAATGCTTGGCAAAGAAACAAAACACAAGAACACTGCTGTGGAATTGATATTGAGTTATGTAAATCTTTAAGAAACTTGTGGGGTGCTATGAACAACCTTGCTACCGTTTTGATGGCCATGATAGTAGACATAATCAGCTGTGGCAAATTGACACACAGCTGTTTTGTGTGTGTGTGAATGGAGAGGAAGCAAGATCCAAACTAGGACTCCTTACTTATCCTATCACCTCTCCCCAGATGAAGCATTTTCCAGACTTATAGGACTCTCTCCCTCTTAGGCCTCTCTCAACAAGCCTAAGCCACTCTTCAGGGAATGGGGGTAGCAGCACTGTTGTTCATGGGTCTTCTTCAGGTGGGCTCCATTAAGAAATGCTGAGTACCATCCCTTGATTGGACCCTGCAGAGAGGGTCGCATGACAAATCCATGTGACCCTCATCAAGCAGTTCTGGAAAAAGGAAATCTATTCCAAAGCACATCTACTGGCTCTGATTACTCTCTTAATGAAATTTGCTATTGCCCTCTATTATAACATAGTGACTACTATGATGTGACTGGGAAGATCAATAGAGCAATCACTGTATTGATTTTAAATGAAAAAAGTTGAATGAATAACTTATAGGATGTATGGGGATCTGGTCTATAAAGCCCATAGCATTTATCACAATATATAGTAGTGGTATCACATTTGACTCTCACATTAGCTTGTTGCAAAATCTTTGCGGTCAGGACTATCTCATTTGAGTTTTTATTATACTGAGTACTGTCTGGTATATAGGAAGTGCCTGTTAGTTTTATGAATAAAGGAAGTTGTTTTCTGGTATGATTTATCTTTACATTAAAGCAATAACATCGTTCATAAAACTGAAAAAAAAAAAGCAATTTTCTTCTCATCAGGAGACTTAGAGCTGATTTGTAATGAGCTAAATTACGTATATGCCACCTGGGAAGCCCATGTGTATATTCAAAGTTTAGAATTAGTGGTAAAGAACCCGTCTGCCAATGCAGGAGACCTAAGAATTGTGGATTTGATCCCTGGGTCGGGAAGATCCCCTGGAGGGCATGGCAGTCCACTCCAGTATTCTTGCCTGGAGAATCTCATGGACAGAGGAGCCTGGAGGGCTGAAGTCTATGTTGTCGAAAAGTGTCAGACATGACTGAAGGGCTTTAGCACACAGGCGAGGTTAGAATAGTGGTTCTTAAACTATTTTTTAGATCATATATCTCTTTGAGAATCTAATGAAACTTTTAATGAATCCTTCAGGGACCCCAAATTAAGAACGTTTGGGTTGGAGAAGTGGTGAAACTAGCCTGTCCTTGTCCTGCTATGGCTTCTTCCTGCTTTCCACCACCAGATGCCCTCTACTCGCCAATGGGCCAACATTACCATCTCGGCCTCGGGCTCCTTTGCTGTTATCCCTGCTCATTCAGACATCTTTACCTGCTGCTTTTGGGAGTTGCCTGAGTCACCTGCCTTATTCCAGTTGACGTAGCTAATCTGTGACTCCCAGCTCTTCCTGAACTACTGCAACTTAATGACTGTTTGGGCAGGTGAACAGTGAATTTTTTTTTTTTTTGGTGCTTGGTCAAGAAGAATTGAGAACAGAGAACTAGAAGATGGATGGGAGGACATTTCTTCCTTTGTGTTGTTGACAGTGAGGGTGTCCCATCCTTCCCGCCAAAAGATAAATCACACAGAAGTATTTGAAAGAACCTACCCTGTGTCTTCAATAATTTTAGGGTTATCTTCTTGGGAGCTTTCTGGAGATGCATTTCCATTTGGGAGAAATCTCTGTATATCAGAGAAAAAAACTAATTTTGGCTTACCCACCCGTGGGTAATAAACGGGAACTATGTGATGCACTGTTTCAAAGTTACCTGTAGCATACAAAGAATTAAAAGCATTCTGCTTTGAAATTAATAACTAAATTATAAACATGACATAGAACAGCATTAGACTATCTAAAATTATATTTTGAGAAATGGAATTAAATATGATTAAATAGTTTCATAGCAAAACAAATAAAAATTTAATGTCCAAGATAAAAATATGACAGATTTTCATACATGAGAACCCACACAGAAAAGTTCATGGTCAACTCTCATAGACAAAATGGGTATACCTAAATTAATTAATATTAACTACCCTTGCATTTTGCTGTTATGTGTTTATTTTTTCAGTGTGTTTAACCTTTAGGGAGTAGATTAGTCAATTACAGTTTTTGTAATCTGTTCATACCTTATTTCCACACTTAACACTTAACATCATTTCTCTGTTTATAGATCCTCATCCCTTTCTAGCAATGATTTTTCTTTTGAGTGGAAACTGCCTTATTCACTTCTAACTCTCAGAGCTTAGCATAGTCTTGGGCATATCCATGGTGCTCAACAAGTATCTATTGAATGAATAAATGAATATTTCCGTCAAAATGCTACAAAAGTAAATGTTGAAAGTTATTAAGATATTTTGAACTTTGTTAAAGTGTTTGACTACTTCTGATTTTGAGACTGTATTTAGGACAAGATTTTTTATTGTAAGATCCTTGAAGTTTAAAGACATAATCCCTATAATTTTATTATTATAGAGCTCCAAATTTACAGGGCTACCAAAAATATGTAAAAGGTCAGGAAATTAAAAAAGTGACCATCTTCCTAAGAATTCCTCTTCATTTACAATGTATTTGGTTGTGCAGAGGTATCTTTAAATGGTTCAGATTAGCTCTTCTAAAATCCTGAAGGTATACTGTAGATTTAAAAAAGCACAATATATCTTCTAGACTTTAATTCATGCTTTCCATTTCTCCTGAGCAGCAATAACAGAGACTTTACATAAAGACCATTGTGCAAGCTATTGGCCAGGTGAATAGTTATTGTGTGTTACATGCATGTGTCCAGGGATGTCACCGGTTGTAAGCCTGGGAGGCTCAGGAACTGTGACATTTGTTTGCAAAGGGTTGACAGAAGCATGTAGGTGACAAGAAAGAATGATATCTACAAATGGCCAAGAGAAAATAACTAAGTATTCCTGAGGAAAGGGCTTCTCTGGTGGCTCAGCTGGAAAGAATTCGCCTGCAGTGCAGGAGCCACAGGATGTTCACTGTATAATCTCTGGGTCAGGAAGATCCCCTGGAGGAGGGCGTGGCAACCCACTCCAGTATTCTTGCCTGGAAAACCCTATGGACTGAGGAACCTGGCAGGCTACAGTCCACGTAGTCACAAAGAGTCGGACTTAGCACATGCCTGAGGCAAACTCAGATAATTTCTATTGGCAGGTAGTCAGCTTTCGATTTAAATTTTATTTAATTGACCTTAGAGTCTATTTTTCAATAGAGTAAATAAAATAATCTATTTGAATACTTATAAAATTTCAAAGTTCTTTCATAATATAGTCTCATTTTTCTCGCTAGTTTCTTTGTATTTGCAAAAATTATATGTTTACATATCATATATTTATACATTTGGAGATTTTTCTAAATTCCTGCCAAACCAAAGTGAATTTCTAAGTAGGGCAGACATTATTGTCATGCCCAAGCACCAGTCATCAATAGAGTAATCACTAGAAACCATAGCTCTTTGATAAAGTCAGATAACTTTGATTAATTACTGGGCTTCCCTGGTGTTTCAGATGATAAAGAATCTGCCTGCAATGGGGGAGACCCAGGTTCAGTCCCTGGGTTGGGAAGAGATTCCCCTGGAGAAGGGCATGGCAACCCACTCCAGTATTCTTGCCTGGAGAGGAGCCTGGCAGGCTACAGTCCATGGGATTGCCAGGAGTTGGACATGACTGACCAACTGACATTTTTACTTTCACTTTCTGCTCTTTGTGACCTGAGACAAGTTATCTCATCTTTCTAAAACTCAGCTTTCTCAGCTGCAAAATGGATATAATTTTTCCCACAAGGTAAAATGATTAAAGCAGTAATGCAAATAAATATCTGAAATGATTGGCACAATAGATATTAGTTCTGTTTTCTTCCCTTGCCCCTCTTTTTGACTTCCTAGACTGGAGTGCTTTCCATTTTAAATTATTAATGGTTATCATGATAGCAACTACAATAAGGTATAAAATGACCCTTCTGTACTATGTAGCATTCCATATGGCTTAAAAAAAATTGTGGTAAGAACACTTAACATGGAATCTACCCTGTTACTGTTTTAAGTGTACAATAAATATATTATTGTTGACTCTAGGTACAACTTTGTGGGCTTCCCAGGTGGTGCTAGTGGTAAAGAACTGCTTGTCAGTGCAGGATACATAAGAGACATGGGTTTGATCTTTGGGTTGGGAAGATCCCCTGGAGAAGGGCATGGCAACCCACTCTACTATTTCTGCCTGGAGAATCCCTTGGACAGAGGAGCCTGGTGGGTTATGGTCCATAGGTTTGCAAAGAGTTGGACACAACTGAAGCGACTTAGCACGCATGCACAACTTTGTAAAGCATATCTGTAGAGCTTATTCATTTTGCTTGACTGAAACTTTATATCTATTGATTAGTAACTCCCCATTACCCTCCTACCCACAGCCCTGGGCAGCCACCATTCTACTCTTTGATTTTATGAAATAGACTATTTTAGATACCTTATATATGTGGAATTATGCAGTATTTGTCTTTCTGGAACTGGCTTATTTTATTTAGCATAATATCCTCAAGGTTCATCCACATTGTTTCATATTACAGAATTTCCCTTTTTTTAAAAGGCTGAAATAGTATTCAGTTGCTTGTATATACCTTATTTTCTTTATCCATTCATTTGTCAGTGGACATTTAGGTCTCTACATCTTGGCTATTATGAATAGTACTGCAATGAACATAGGAGTGTTAACATCTCTTCAAGATCCTCATTTCAGTTCTTTTAGATAAATACTTAGAAGTGGGATTGCTGGATCACATGGTTGTTCTATTTCTAAATCTTGAGGCACTGCCATACTTTTTTTCATGTTGGTTGCACCATTTTGCATTCCTACTGACAGTATGCAAGGGTTCCACTTTTATCCACAGCCTCACCTACATTTGTTGTTGTTTTGTCATATGATAATAGTTTTTTTGACAGGTATGAGGAAATACCTCATTGTCCTTTTGATTTGCCTTTCCCGGTTAATTAGTGACATTGAGCATTTAAAAAATATACCCATTGGCCATTTGTAGTTTTTCTTTGGAAATATGTCTGTTGGAAATGCTGTTGGGAAAATGGCATCAATTAACTTGCTCAACAAAGGGTTGCCACAAATCTTCTATTTGTATAAAATGTAGTATCAGGGAAGTGCTGTAAAGTGCAATCAAAAAAATGTGTGCCTGCAAAGACAGAAATATAGATCAATGGAGCAGAATAGAAAGCCCAGAGATAAATCCGCGAACCTATGGACACCTTATCTTCGACAAAGGAGGCAAGGATATACAATGGAAAAAAGACAACCTCTTTAACTAAGTGGTGCTGGGAAAACTGGTCAACCACTTGTAAAAGAATGAAACTAGAACACTTTCTAACACCATACACAAAAATAAACTCAAAATGGATTAAAGATCTAAATGCAAGACCAGAAACTATAAAACTCCTAGAGGAGAACATAGGCAAAACATTCTCTGACATAAATCACAGCAGGATCCTCTATGACCCAGCTCCCAGAATATTGGAAATAAAAGCAAAAATAAACAAATGGGACCTAATGAAACTTAAAAGCTTTTGCACAACAAAGGAAACTATAAGTGAGGTGAAAAGACAGCCCTCAGATTCGGAGAAAATAATAGCAAATGAAGCAACAGACAAAGGATTAATCTCAAAAATATACAAGCAACTCCTGCAGCTCAATTCCAGAAAAATAAATGACCCAATCAAAAAATGGGCCAAAGAACTAAACAGACATTTCTCCAAAGAAGACATACAGATGGCTAACACACACATGAAAAGATGCTCAATATCACTCATTATCAGAGAAATGCAAATCAAAACCACAATGAGGTACCATTACACACCAGTCAGGATGGCTGCTATCCAAAAGTCTACAAGCAATAAATGCTGGAGAGGGTGTGGAGAAAAGGGAACCCTCTTACACTGTTGGTAGGAATGCAAACTAGTACAGCCGCTATGGAGAACAGTGTGGAGATTCCTTAAAAAACTGGAAATAGAACTGCCATATGACCCAGCAATCCCACTTCTGGGCATACACACTGAGGAAACCAGGTCTGAAAGAGACATGTGCACCCCAATGTTCATCACAGCACTGTTTATAATAGCCAGGACATGGAAGCAACCTAGATGCCCATCAGCAGACGAATGGATGAGGAAGCTGTGGTACATATACACCATGGAATATTACTCAGCCATTAAAAAGAATTCATTTGAATCAGTTCTAATGAGATGGATGAAACTGGAGCCCAATATACAGAGTGAAGTAAGCCAAAAAGATAAAGAACATTAGAGCATACTAACACATATATATGGAATTTAGAAAGATGGTAATGATAACCCTATATGCAAAACAGAAAAAGAGACACAGATGTACAGAATAGACTTTTGGACTCTGTGGCAGAAGGCGAGGGTGGGATGTTTCAAGAGAACAGCATCGAAACATGTATATTATCTATAGTGAAACAGATCACTAGCCCAGGTTGGATGCATGAGACAAGTGCTCAGGCCTGGTGCATTGGGAAGACCCAGAGGGATTGGGTAGAGAGGGAGGTGGGAGGGAGGATCGGGATGGGGAATACATGTAAATCCATGGCTGATTCATGTCAATGTATGACAAAAACCACTGCAATGTTGTAAAGTAATTAGCCTCCAACTAATAAAAATAAATGAAAAAAAAATGTGTGCCTGAAATTATTTATTTATTTATTGAAATGAAGTTGATGCATAATATCTTGTTAGCTTCAGGAGTATTACATAGTGATTTGACATTTATATCATTGTAAAATGATGACCACCATATGCCTAGTAGCTCCAATACTTTGGCTGCCTGATGGGAAGAGCCGACTCATTGGAAAAGACACTGTTGCTGAGAAATAGAGGGCAGGAGGAGCAGGGGGCAACAGAGGATGAGATGGTTGGATGGCATCACCGACTCAGTGGATATGAGTTTGAGCAAACTCTGAGAGAGAGTAAAGGGCAGGGAAGCCTAGTGTGCTGCAGTCCATTGGGTAACAAAGAGTTGGATACAACTTAGTTGACTGAACAACAACAACAAATAAGCCTAGTAACCATATGTCCTCATCCAAAGTTATTGTAATATTGTTGAGCATATTCTTTGTGCTATATGTTCTGTCCCTGTGGCTTATTCATTTTATAACTGGAAATTTACCTTTTAATCCCCTCGCCTATTTCATCCCATTTCTCCTGGCAACCACTCTTCTGTATGAGTCTGTTTTCATTGCCTTGTTTTTTAGATTCCACATATGAGATCATTCAGTGTTGGCCTTTCTCTTTTTGACTTACTTTACTTGGCATAATACCCTCTATATCCACCCATGTTGTCACAAGTAGTAAGATACTATAATGGCTGAGTAATATTCCATTGTATATATCACATCTTCTTCATCCATTCCTCCATACCCAGAAGTGAAATTACTGGATCATATGATCACATGATCCGTTCTATTTTTAATTTTTTGAGGCACCTCCATACTGTTTACCTTGGTGGTTGCACCAATTTACAGTCCTACCAACCGTGCACCAGGGTTCCCTTTTCTCCACATCCTTGTTAACACTTGTAATTTGCCTTTTTGATAATTGCCATTCTGACAGGTGTAAGGTGATATCTCATTATGGTTTTGATTTGCATTTCTCTGATGATTAGTGATGCTGAGCATCTTTTTATTTGTCTGTTGACTCTCTGTATGTCTTCTTTGGGGAAAATGTCTATTCAGTTCCTCTGCTAATTGTTTCATTGGGTTATTTGTTTTTCTGATACTAAGTTGTGTGAGTTCTTTATGTATTTTGGATATTAACCCCTTATACATCCTGTTGTTTGTAGATTTCTTCTCTCATTCACTAGGCTGTCTTTTCACCAGGTTGGTAAGTCTCCTTCACTTTGTAAAATCATTAGGTTGTCTTCTCACCAGGTTGGTAGTCTCCCTCACTTTGTAAAAGCTTTTGAGTTTGGTGTAATCCCATTTGTTTGTTTTCGTTTCCCTTGCCTGAGGAGACAGATTCAAAAAAATATTCATTGCCTATATTTTCTTCTAGGAGTTTTGTGGTTTCAGCTTTTACATGGAGTAAACCTTTAATCCATTTTGAGTGTGTTTTTGTGCATGGTGTGAGAAACCGGTCCAGTTTGATTCTTTCACATGTAGCTGTCTAGAGTTCCTCACACCATTTAATGAAGAGGCTGTCTTTCCCCCACTGCATATTCTTGCCTTCTTTTGTTGTAAATTAATTGGCTGTATAGTCGTGAGTTTATTTCTGGTCTGTCTATTATGTTCCGTTGATCTATGTGTCTTATTTTTGTGCCAGTACAATACTGTTCTGATTACTGTTGTTGTTTAGTCACCAAGTCATGTTCAACTCTTTGTGACTCCATGGACTGCAGCATACCAGGCTTCCCTGTCCTTCACAATCTCCCAGAGTTTGCTCAAACTCATGTCCACTGAGTCAGTGATGCCATCCAACCATCTTATCCTCTGCTGTCCTCTTCTCCTCTTGCCTTCAGTCTTTCCCAGCATCAGGGTCTTTCCCAATGAGTCAGTTCTTCGGATGAGGCAGCCAAAGTATTGGAGCTTTAGCTTCAGTATCAGTCCTTCCAATGAATATTCAGGACTGATTTCCTTTAGGATTGACTGGTTTGACCTTGATTACTGTAGCTTCGTAGTATACAGCTGACCCTTGAATGACAAGTGTGAACTCCTCAGGTCCACTTTTATGTGGATTTTTTTCTATAGTATATACTACAGTATTACATGATCTGAGGTTGGTTGAATCCTCAGATGTAGAACCAAAGATAGGGAGGGCTAACTGTAAAATTACATGCAGATTTTCGAGACTGGGGAGGGTTGGTGCCCCTAACCTCCTCATTGCTTAGGGTTCAATTGTAACTTGAAAATGGAACATGATCCCTCCATGTCAAAGTTTTATTGATCTTTCTCAACGTTGCTTTGGTTTACTTTGGCATCTTTGAGGTAATACTGAAAACAGGTAAATCCTTACCCTGAATCTAGTTTTGCCCTTCACAGTCAACCACGTATAAGCAGAGAGGGGGAAGTGCCTCTTGTCCAGTTTATAGGTTTCAAATCTTGAGGAATTCATATTGCCAATACAGTATCATCACTCTTGTGAGATAAAAGTAACAGTTCATATTCAGTGGATACAATATGGCAAAATCATCAGAGCTTTCCATCTCCTTCTCTTCACCTCAGCCTCCTTGTCCTAGAGTGATAGAGCTCCTAGGATATGCTGTCTATGCATAAAGCCACCCTACACTGTTTTAGTTCCTCTTTCCCTGTTCGCTTGGTCTCACTTCTTCCTATGTCTCCATCCCCTGTTAGTTGTGGACTAGAAAACGAACATGGAATAGAGGAAGTGGCTCATTCCAATGTTGTTGACTACAGAATTGGTGAAGAGTGAATTCTAGGATACTCCCCAATATGATAAAGATGATTATTACACATTCCACTTAGCTGCAGTTAGTTTCATTAGTTAAGCTATACTCAGGAGGTTGCCATATCCTTGTAATGCTACCTTAGGCATATTATAATCAAAATATTCAAATGATAGGGTAGGTACTTAAGAAAGGGGACAGGCCACCGAGTATAGGCCACATATATGATTGTGATACATCTTTATTTTTTATCCTGATGAAAAATGTGATTTTTGTGCTGTTACTAAATGAATATACTTGTAACTTCAGTTTCACAAGTTATACAGCTGATTGTTGTTTCACCATTTAGATATCTAGTATCTTGCACTGTAAAAAAAATTATGACTGCACTGGGTCTTCATTGCACCAACCACATGGACTGTTCCTTGTGGCATGGGCTCAGTAGTTGTGGCACGCAGTCTTCTCTAGTTGCCATGCGTGGGCTTAGTTGCAGTACATGAGATCTTAGTTCCCTGACCAGGGATGGAATCCGGGCCCCCTGCATTGGGAGCGTGGAATCTTATCCACTGGACCACCAGGGAAGTCCCCATGCACTTTTGCAAGATATAAAATCATACGTTTTCCCCACCCTCATGGCTCTCTGTTTATATAGCCAACATAATTATAACTCAGTATGAACTAAACATAGCTTTTTTTTGATAGTAGCTACCATTTTCATATATAAACATTGTAGGAAAATTTTTCTAGAAATTGTAATCAAGTTGAAAAAAGCCCATAAAAAATGAAACAAACTCCTAATTTTTGGCATTTTTTTGTTGTTGTTGAGTATAATATTCCTTTTGCTGGTAGGAATGATCAACTAATGAATGACAGCCTACTTACTGTTGCATGAGTTACATGTATCCTCGTTCTTACTGTTCTTTTTCTTGCTGGTTTTCTTCGCATCTTTGGATGCTTTCCAATTCATTAGGAATTGTCTTTCCATGTTTTTAATTTCTTTTCCATCAAGGAATTCTAGAGAAAAACAATATATATGTTTAAAATGTAATATATACATGTTATAAATGTTATATATCAGTACAACATAAATATTACTATATAATACATAAATATTATAATACATATACAATATATATATATATACCACTGGTTTAGGGCACATGAACTTAAGTTACACTCTAGACTGAAGTAAATTTATTTTTAAAATACCTTATTCATATAACCTCTTATACTTGTGTAACTTCTGTTGAGCTTTTATTTTTAATTATTTTTTCTGATTTCAAAAAGAATATGTGCTTTTTATAAACAACTGAAATGTGATGGCAGAAACATAATATGACTCCATAATTACTATCCATATCTCTCCTTTCCATGACTAACAAAGATAATCACTATAAACAATTAGATGTCTGGTTGCCCTTCTTGAAGCATAAGTTACATTGTTATTTTACAAAACAAAAATATCATACTTAACAAAAGTTAAATATTTAATAATTTTATGGTTATTCATAGAAAAAGAAAAGTATATTTTATTTTAATGTCAATAAGTTTTATACATGTAATGTATTTTAAAAGTATGTACATTAAGATATAGGAAATAATAGGAATAATTCACATAGCTGGCTTCTTTATTCTACAAATTGAGATTTCAGCTATTTTAACATTTTGTTCCTTTTAAAAAGTTTTGAAAATTGAGCATATTCAGTTACACAAATAATTTTTGTATGTTGTGTGTATGATATTTTGAAAATTCAAAGAAATGGAAAAAACAAAACATTACCTGCATTTCACAACCAGAAATAATCACTGAAAACCACTGATAATACTTTAGTATATTTCTTAGCATTGTTTTGTTTTCCAGGTATGTACCATGTTTATATGTGTGTATTATATAGAAATGGAACTCTCTATACAGTATTACACCCTACTTTTTAATATTATATTGTGAGCATTTTATCATGTCTTTCTTTAAAGACAATTTTTAATGAATGATAGTATTCTAGATATAAATATACAAGTAATTTACTTTAAAAATATACCTGATATACATGACTGTTCTTCCTGTGTGTTCTCTGTTTCCTACTCTTGGCTGATGGGGTAAAGGGTAGGCAGGGTGTGATCCTCCCCTATGTGTTCTGAAAAATCGTCTTGGATATTTTTGATACACCTCCTGTCAACCCCTCCTTCCCTCAAGAGAAGTACTGTACTAGCGTGATTAACCAAGGTTTACTACAGCCATGAACTCTGAAGTGGTTTTGCTATGTTAGTTTTTATACTCAAGTACAGCATGTCAGGTGGTGCTAGTGGTAAAGAAAGTGAAAGTGAAAGTCGCTCAGTTGAGCCCGACTCTTTGCGACCCCATGGACTGTATAGTCCCTGGAATTCTCCAGGCCAGAATATTGGAGTGGGTAGCCTTTCCCTTCTCCAGGGGATCTTCCCAACCCAGGGATCGAACCCAGGTCTCCCACACATTGCAGGTGGATGCTTTACTAGCTGAGCCACAAGGGAAGCCTGAGAATACTGTAAAGAACCCACCTGCAGATACAGGAGATGTAAGAGACATTGGTTTGATCGCTGGGTCAGGAAGATAGTCTGGAGGAGGGCATGGAAACCCACTCCAGTATTCTTGCCTAGAGAATCCTATGGACAGAGGAGCCTGGTGGGCTACATTTCATGGGGTTGCAAAAAGTCGGACATGACTGAAGTGACTTAGCATGCATGCATGCACGCACAGCATGTCATAGAAACTCTCCCACAATCTCCTCTGTGAGAGGGCAGTGATTATCCTTCTGATATTGTGTACAGCTGGTCCTTATTGAAGAGCACTGGTCCATTTCCCCTTATATAGTGCATATTCAGGAGTGTTATTATATGTACTCCCTACTTTGCTCCCATTTCAAATGAAAGGAACTCCTGTATGTTCTTAAGGTGCCATTTGGCAAATGTCAAGCAATGAAAACTTTGATCAGTTTTACCTACAGAACCAAGAGTCTCGAGGGATCTTCGGAGGATTTATGCCAGTGAAAACTTGGCAAAAGGTCAGCAAGTTGTACACATTTATGACTAAATACTTTTTGTTGGTAACAGCCACATTTTCTTTTTTAAAGAAAGTGTTTGATATCTTCATTATTTCTGAACAGAAGATATTTTTTCATGTTTTATTTCTCAATTTTAACTTTTGTTCTTATTAAAATATCAAATTTAAAGTTGACCATTTTTGTAGGTCCAGATGTTATATTCATATTTCTGAAGGCTTGCTGATACATTAACTAAAGAGTTAACCAGGTCTCTTTCTCTAGGAAAATTATATTAATATAATAGAAACATGTACCCAGTGATTTGGACACCAATATCAGTCTGTCTCTGTATTTTGGTTTGAGACAAACAGGATTTCTATTTAGATCCATTTTCCACAGCTTCATCAACTTGGTCAGTAAAAACTCCAAATCCTATAATTAGAGGAGAAAAAAGTAAGACACAGGTATTTCATACTTATCAATATTTTTTTCATGTCAGTAACTGTTTTTAAAGGTACTTACTGTTTTCCATGGAGTTCTAGCTCAGTGCCAGGTACTTAGATGATGTACAATAAATCTTTTTTTGATGAAATAGTCTGTAGTAATAATAGAAAGGGCTAAAGATGAGGCAAAAAATAAGGTCCTGAGTTGGGGACCACAGAATTGTACTCTGTCACACTAGTTTAAATGGATCCAACTTGTATCTCAGGAAACACTTGGCCTTTCTGGCTATCCATGCTATAGAAGATGCCCTGTTCTTAGCAGAGTTTATGGAAGTTTACAGATTAAGGCCATTATGGAGTAGTAAGTAAGCATCCATTGACATTGCAAGCAATGTAGTTGCTTTTCCTTTTTTAAAGCCTATAAAAAATGTATCAAAGGGAGAAAATGGAGAAAAAAGTCCCATGTGTGTTTATTACCCAAAGATCACTTTAAAAATATTTATTTTTGGCTGCTCTGGGTCTTTGTTGCTGAGTACAGGCTTTCGCTAGTTGCTGTGAGCAGAGGCTACTCTAGTTGCGGTGGCAGGTTTCTCATTGTGGTGGCATCTCTTGTGGAGCACAGGCTCTAGGGCACACAGGCTTCAGTAGTTGCAGCATATGGGCTCAGTAGTTTCGACTCACCAGCTCTAGAGCATAGTTTCAGTAGTTGTGGTACACGGGCTTAGCTGCCCTGTGGCATGTGGAATCTTCCAAGACCAGGGATCAAACTGGTGTCCCCTGCACTGGCAGGCAGATTCCCAACCGCTGAACCACCAGGGAAGTCCCAAAGATCACTTTTAATGTGTTATGTATCCTTCTAGTCTTCTTTTTTGAGCATAGGGATTTCTTTTTTAATTGTCAGTCATACTGTGTGTACAGTTTTGTTTTATGTGCATCATAAACATTTTCATGTTTTAATAGCTTATAAGAACATCAGCTTATTGATATTTAAAGGGATAATTAAGTTGTTCTATGGTTGAAAATCCAAATAAATGTGAGAAAAACAGATTAGTCACCGGTTTACCCTCCTCACCTCCTCTCCCTGTTTTTTTTCAGTCCAGTGTTACTGTCTTTCTCCAATGTCTTATCTTTCTGTCATTCCTTTTCTTGCTTTCTCCCCTCTTTCTACTCTATAGCCCATGATTGATTTTTAGTAATTCAGTGGCCATAGGCAAAAAAAGGGAAAACTACCTTCAATACGGCAAAACCATTATTTTAAAGCAAATGTTTTGCTGACAATATTAATAAATAGTGATAATAACTAATTCTGTGGAGAGCTTTTGGTTTTCCGAGCACTGCTGTATATATATGATATTGTACATATCCAAGAGAACTGCTTTTCTTTAAAATATGAGTATGAGAATTACAAAGTTCATAGAAGTTCCAGAGGATATCAGCAGGCAAACACCTATGATTCTTTTGTTTTCTTCAGGCCAAGACCAAACTTATCATAGGTTATAAGGGAAAAATTAGAAAATACAAATTATATATATGTAATTATATATATATATATATATATATATATATATATATATATATATATATATATACACACAGTAATTACTAAGCTGAAAGTAATTGTTAATGCATTGGCTGGTATTTTTATTCCCCATAGCATTTCTTCACCTTCAAAGCATGATGCTATTTAGCATTGTATATCTATTTAACTATTTGTATCTTCCACCTTATTCTTTGCTTGATCCATGTTGCTTAGATATTCCATTTTTCCATTTTTGGAAAAAAAATCTCATATAATAAGACTACATTTATTCTTTAGACTTTAGAATACATATATATATGTATGTGGATATATATATATATTTACCAGGAAGCTTTGGTAGCAGGTCCCTTCTACATATTACATATCCTCCCAAAACTGTAAAAGGAGGTAACAGAAATGGAACATCCAGATAGGTGCCTGTGTCTACATGAAGAAATGCTGTCTTTTGGGGAATAATTAGAAGCACAGCTGGGTTTTCAGAGCCCACTGCAGAGCACTTTAATCTTTCAGAGACCAATGTCTTCCCATATAAAGTAGTATTTGTAGTTCTGCTTACTTCAGTATTCATCAGGTATGTATTGAGTTACAGGTTAATTTCTGTGCTAGACTCCGATGGATTCAAATAAATAAGTTATGTGAAAAATACAAGGAATTGTATAAGCAACTGTACAAGCAATCCTAAACTTTCTGACATTGCTTCTTACTATTTGACCTTAGGCAAGTCTGTGACCTCATTTATAAAGTGAGGATAATTAGAGGATTAGTTGCTGTGGCATGTAAAGTGCGTGAGGCAGAGCACATAGGGAATACATGTGTTAGTTCTCTGCCTCTTTGTCTGCTCTGCCACCCCTGAGCTAATTCTCTAATTTTGGTCAACACAGAGAAAAAGTGACATTAAGAGAGAGTCAGGTACTGATCCACTGACAAGTAACTGATGCCTTAGAAGAAAGTTCTCTTCAAAAGTTCTAACTTCATCCTTTAGTCCTGGGTCATGCCCTCTTCCCAGAATTTGTTCCACACCTTTTGATACAGCCATAATTATTTTCTGTGAGAATTTCACTATATTTCTCTTGGTTTAAAAACCTCTGGAAGGATGGAACTATGCATTGCATCTTTGTACGGTGTTGAATATGATACCCATTATAGTAACAATAAGAAAACTTTAAAATTTATATGGATAAAGAGTCCTGTAGGTTTTTATTAATTGTTCATCACTTGATAAATGACCCTCAGCATACTCCTTCTCCCAGTGTATGTTTATTTAAGACTAAACTAATCCTGTGTTGAAATATGATAACTCTTTGGAAACGCTCTGGTTATGCATTGCCTTCCTGTCTTTCATAAAATGCTTTCACTTTTGTGCCCTTCAGTAAGTTGCTAAAGGGAGCAGACGCTTCTCTGGACAGCCTTGGTATGATAAATGATCATGTCATGCTATCACTTAGAAGAGTGCTACAAAATACTAAGGAGCTGATTTTATTTCCCATGTAGGGTTGGTGTCTAAGCTCTAGGATAGGAGCCTGCTGCACTGGCAGTGCTCTTGCTGCAATTAATGATGGCCACTGATGAACCTGTATTTGACCAGCATGCGCCAATCTTTATTGGAAACGTCTAGCCCAACTGTCCTGACTAAATCTAAAGACAGCCATTTGTCATCCCCGTGACTGCCTGTCATCATCTGCCTGGGAAAATCTATAATTTTGGGCTTGTTCCTGACTAAACTGTGGAGTGAATAAATTTATCTTTTGAGTTACTTTGTCAGGATCAATATTGAGCAGAGGTTGAATAAATTAGAAACTGGAAATACATGACAGGCCATAGTGGTTTATTTGTTTGTATCTTATAAGTCAAGTATTTAGTTTTTATAAAAGGCAAGCACGTCAGATTTTTGATTTCCACTGTTCATTCTAAGATGCTTTACCTCATGATAAATGGGCATCAGAAAACCAATGAAGTAAATCACTGACTGATGTATCTGTGAGATGAACTTTTAAGATCATTTTATTGATTTAGCAAACTTTGCAGACATAAAAACTGAAGGTAAAGATTAAACTTTTTTTCAAGTTGTTATACATTTTTGCAGCCATGATATTTATTTGATTTAATAATATCAGCAGTATATATAATGTTGGCCTTTTACTAGTTCATGGCTCTTCAAGTTACTTGCAGAAATCCAGGTTTTATTATAAATGGTTATTCAGTAATTTAATATTTTTAATACATTGTTGCATTCTTTTTAAAATATTTATTTAGTTGGGTGTGCCAGGTCTTAGTTGAGTCATGAGGAATTTTTAGTTGTGGCACAGAGACTCTTAGTTGTACTATATGTGGCATCTATTTCCCTGATCAGGTATTGAACCCAGAACCCCTGCATCTGGAGCATGGAGTCCTAGCCACTGGACTGCCAGGAAGTCTCCATTTATAGGAGTTACAGGGAAAAAAATATTAGTCAAAAGTAAATATTTAAACTAGAGCCCTATGAGTTAAAGAAGGGAGTTTCTAAAGTATGGAGTATTATTTGGCTTAAAATGTTCCTTTCTCCTCCTAAGTGATTGATTCTGCCACCATTTTTATTAGAGAGAACTGGGTCATCTAGCATCAAGTTTTCTCAGTTGTCTGCCTTTGGTCTCACACTTCCTCTTCCATTCCTTTTTCCAATTTTTATCAGCAAAGGAAAAGTCCCACCTCTTTTCCCAAATGAATCAGTTCTCTCATCCCTTCCTCTCTCCACAGGCCTCCTGCTCTTGGGATCATCTTTCTCTTTGATTTCCAGTCTCTCCACCTCCTCTGGGCTTTATCCTATCTCTTACCCACCATCACTACACTTCCTTAAAGAGTAGTCCAGACCAGTTCTTTTCAAACTTTCATGTCCTTATGAGTCATGTAGGGATCTTGTTTAAATGCAGATCCTGGTTTAGTAGTGTCTGGGGGCAGAAGTTGAGATTCTGCCTTTCTGATGCTGCTGGTTCTAGGACCACACTTGGAGTTATAAGGGTCTTGGTCACTGCTTCTGCTTCCTCAATCACTGGGCACTCTTGCAACCTGGTGCGTTTGATCAGGCACCACTAACATTACCACTGAGCCATACATTGACAATTTTGTACTTTCTTTGTCTCAGTTCTTGGGAGCAACTTACTCTACTTGACCACATCCTTTATGGCTTTTCTTGCAGGCTCCCTGGGTCCTACTCTTACCTGCCCCAGGGCCTTTGCACATGTTATTCTCTTTACTTGGTAAGCCATTCTATTGTTTCAGAGTTCAGCTCAGCACTGCCTTCCTAAGGGAAGCCTTCACTCAGCTCCCTAAGGTAGTTCCCCTAGTTATAGGCTTTCAGAGTGACATACTGCTTCTTTATAGCACTTGCCTGGGGTGCAATTTTACTTATGTTTTTGGATAATTATGTGCTTAATGTTCCTCTTCCTCTCAATGCTGAGAGCTCTTGAGTTCAGGGACTGGATCTGTTTTTTTTTGCTCACTATTGTCTTCCCCTTTGTCTAGCAAGTGCTGCCACATGGTAGGTGTTCTGAATGAATGAAAAAGAAGAAATAGTGAATGCCTGCATGAATGAATGGATCTCAGGTTAGAAGCAGAACAAGAGTTTTAAGCAGGAGATTATATGGAACTGTTTTGAAAATTCTGCTGATTAGAAGTGCTGCAGTCAGAGAGAGAATGGAAAGACAGGATTTATCTTCTATTTTGTTTTTTCCTCTACTCCTCTTCCACCCTTACCTTTTCTCCCTCACCCTGAGTCTCTGCCATGGACTTTGGACTAGGGAATAGGAGAGATGATGGCAGGGCTAGAAGATCTTGGGGGAAGGAGTCCGTGGCAGCTGTGGGTGAGAGGGAAGGAAATGAAATCCCAAACAGCAGGGAGGACAGAAGCCATTTGCTCAGCTTCCTCCAGGTCCTTATGCAACCATCCTAAGGGACCATTATTTTTTTCATTTTTTTATTTCATGTATTTTCTGTAGATGCATTTGAGGAACCTACAGTGTCCAAATAAAGGCAGCTGGTTTGAGTGCTAAAAGCCATCGGTAATTATAGTGGTTCGGTTAGAATTCTCTAATGATGTACACTTCTTTTTCCCCATGGCACAAAGCTGTCTGTTGTTGAAGACTCTTAGGATGGATGTCAGTGACTTTATGTATGGCACATTGAGCTTTCTCTCCCATGGCACAGGGCTTGATGTCAGCAGCTTTGGGGCAACTTCGATCAATGAGTATAAAGAATGGAAAAATTAAAGCCAAAAAATGGAGACGCTGATCCCAGGAATATATAAAGAGAACTAAGTTAATATTCTGATGCTAACCTTCCTGCCCTTTGACTAAGCCTTCAGAGGATGATTTAAAATGACCATAAAAGCACATTTCAAATGACTCCTGGGCAAGTCTGCATTCAGACATCCAAGAAGCTGTGTCTAAGTGTTTTAATTATGTGTATCTTCTTGCTAAGTCACTTCAGTCATGTCCGACTCTGTGCGACCCCAAAGAACTTGAGATTTCATCCTCACACTGTGAATATCTTTTCTCTATGGGAAGGAAAAGCAACTATTGGTGTATCTCAGCCTCTGGAACTTACTAAATGATTTGCATTCCTTCCTCAGATGGCTGAATATTTTAAATTGTTCTTGTATTCATTCATTTTATAAACACATAGTAGGTGTCTACTATGTGCCAGGCACTGACCTGAGCTCTAGGGCATCCTGAAATCGACAAAAAGTCCTTGCTCTTAAAGGCATTTCGATATTTGGGGGAATTCATTTGTAGTAGAATAATATTTATTTTAGTAATTATCTACTGCTGACAGTAGTTATGACAAACCTAGACAGCATATTAAAAAGCAGAGACATCACTTTACCAACAAAGGTCCATATAGTCAAAGCTGTGGTTTTTTCAGTAGTCAGAGTCCCTTTGACAGCAAAGAGATCAAACCAGTCAATCTTAAAGGAAATCAAGCCTGAATATTCATTGGAAGGACTGATGCTGAAGATGAAGCTCCAACACTTTGGCCACCTGATGTGAAGAGCCGACTCATGAGAAAAGACCCTGATGCTGGGAAAAATTGAGGGCAGGAGGAGAAGGGGGCAACAGAGGATGAGATGGTTGGATGGCATCACTAATGCAATGGACATGAGTCTGAGCAGACTCTGGGAGATAGTGAAGGACAGGGAATCCTGGTGTGCTGCAGTACATGGGGTTGCAAAGAGTTGGACACAACATAGCGAGTAAACAACAACTGCAGTGGCTATGAGATGAGCAAGGTAATAGTACTAAATTTGGAAACAAGACCAGGAGTAACTGTTTTAGAGTCAGCGGATAGCTGTCTAAAAGGGCTTTTTTTTTTTTGTAAGTGCTTTTGAAACAAGAGTTCTATTTATGAGGGAAAGAAGCCTATTCTTCCTCCTATGGTCTTATGTAAAGAAATTATATCACAGCTACCTCATTGCCAAACCAGAAACTATGAGGTCTTGGCAGTGGTTCAGCTCACAAGTGACTGGTTCCAGGAAGTCTTCCCTAGCCCTAGGCTAAGTTAGTGATACCATAATACTTATGAAAACAGAACCACATTGTAGTCTGATCACTTGTTGACTTTTTTTTTATTCCCTGGGACTGTACTCTTTCTTCTTCTGATCTACATGGAGTAGTATAATGCCTGGCAAACCTGTAGATGCCCAATACATGTTTGAATGAATGAGTAATTGAATGAATGTGATATGATACGGCATAATATGACCAGAATATAGCTAGTGCAAATTAGAATAAATTAAAAGATACAGGTGTTTCCCTTGGAGGAGCAGCAAGGAGAGAGTTCAGGTCTAGTTACAGTTACTAGAAACTCATTCATTGGGAGATCAGAGTTAAGAGGCAAGAAATCTAGTGTCTTGTTGTCACTCAGTTGTGTCCGCTCCTTGCTACCCCATGGTCTGCAGCACTCTAGGGTTCCTTGTCCTTCACCATTTCCCAGAGTTTGCTCAAACTCATGTCCATTGAATTGATCATGCCATCCAACCATCTCATCCTCTGTCATCCGTTTTTCCTCCTGCCTTCAGTCTTTCCTAGCATCAGGGTCTTATCTAATGAGTTAGCTCTTCACATCAGGTGGCCAAAGTGTTGGAACTTCTGCTTCAGCATTAGTCCTTCTAATGAATATTCAGGGTTGATTTCCTTTAGGATTGATTGGTTTGATCTCCTTGTAGTCCAAGGGGCTCTCAAGAGTCTTCTCCAACAGTTTAAAAAGCAGCATTTCTTTGGCACTCAGCCTTCTTTATGGTCCAACTTTCACATCTATACATGACTACTGGGAAAACCATAGCTTTGACTATACGGACCTTTGACAGCAAAGTATCTAGAGGGAAACATTTGATAGAAAAATAGCATAGAGTGGAAAATGCATATAGTTCCTTCTCAGAGAAACATCTGTCTGTTGGTGAGGGATGGAGATCTTGGGGTATGGAAGAGAAAATCAGGTAAGAGCAGAATTATGCAAATAAATACATTACAGAGTAAAGCCTCATAAACCAGTTTTAGAACAAACTTAGAATAGTTTTAAAAATAAGTTTATAGCTATAGTAAAGTAAGTATTTTCAATCACAATTTCATGTAAATATTGAAAACTTTTTTCTTTACCTTACCTTCACGTGCAGAAGTTGATTGTCAGCTGCTATGAGCTGATTAAGATTCTCCAGTATTTCTAAGTCTCTTATGTCATCAATATTATTATTGCTGATATTCAATATAGAGAGGGATTTCTGTAAGAAAAGGAACTAATTTAGTATTAATAAATAATCTACTTAAATGCTATACATAGAAACCAGAAATCGTAATGTGTGAAAAATTTTCAATTGATCAGTTCAGGCTATTTTCCTCTTTAGACAAGAAAATAAAAATCATTGGAAGTTTTGTTTTTATGCCATATTTTTTTCTGGTGAAACTTTTAGGACTATAGTAATTGTAATGTAACTTACTATTTTTGTCTAAAGTTCCTTCATAAGTCCGATTTTTCTCTTCCAAGATATGAGAGAAATTTATAGATAGAAGCCAAGGAGGAAAGAAAGAGAGAAAAATGATGTCCCAATAAGCAAATAACACATTGTAGAAAAAAATGCTTATTTTAGTTTAAGAAAATTATCCTTTTGTGTTAAATATCACTAAGATTAGGGAGAAATAGTTTTCATCTTTGTTTTTCTAAATAGGAAACATGATCAAGAATTGAAAGAACATCTTGTTTGTATTTTTATCTGTATCTCTCCATATAGTTTTCTCTCAGTAATTTGTATGTTCAGGAGCCAGGTAAAATAATAATCACCTAATTAAAAAGAACTTCAAAATCAGCTGTTAATGAGGACATAAGTATATAATAGAGCAACACTAAGTCAGAGGCATCTAAACTCTTAAGGCCCAGGATTCTCTACCAAGACGGAGACAACTCACTCAGGTATCCAACCTTTAGAGAAGATACTTCCTGATACTTTTCAGCACTTGAAGTATAGCTTTAAAAGTATGCTTTACATATAGGATTTCAGAATCTGCCTGAATCTATGACAAAATGAGCAAGCAAAAATGTTTTCGGTGGCAATTTGTAATAGAACTAGCCATCCCCACAGTGGGGTGAGTCTACTTGGTTCAGCTGAGGTTGAGCTGAAACATAGTTGTTTCTATAGGAGAGTAGGGAGGATAGGATAGAAATCAGGCCACTCCTTTCTTTTCCAATTTAAAGCACTACCCAGGACTTCCCTGGTGGTCCAGTGGTTAAGACTCCATGCTCCCATTGTAGGGGAAAGTGAAAGGGTTAGTCGTTCAGTTGTATCCAACTCTTTGTGACCCCATGGACTGTAGCGCGGCAGGCTCCTCCTTCCATGGAATTTTCCAGGCAAGAATACTGGAGTTGGTAGCCATTCCCTTCTCCAGGGGATCTTCACCACCCAGGGATTGAACCCGGGTTCCTGCATTGCAGGTAGATTCTTTACTGTCTGAATCACCAAGGAAGCCCCAGTGTAGGGGGCCTGGTGTTCAGTCCCTGGACAGGGAATTAGATTCCCCTCGCCGAAACTAAGACCCCACGTGCTGTGACTAAGACTCAGTGCAGCCAAATAAACTATGTAGGAAAAATTAGTTTTAGCCCTCAAATTCTCAACTGACCATATAAACATGCACAGTATGTACAGCGTCCAGATAAACCTTCACCACCTTCCTTTTTTTTTCATTATAACCATTGATCACTGTAGTCTTTGTCAGAATACTCAAATGCAGCCTTACTGCCAGAGAATGAAGGGTTCTTGGATCAAACACAAGCTTTTCTCCAAGCGGAAGCCTCTGACTCTCAACATGAAGCTCTCTTAGTCCTTCTAGTCCTTCTAAGCCTTCTATGACAGCAATGTAATTGCCTCCCAGATATCTGCAAAATATAAAACAAAATTTTAAGTAGGCATTTTGAGACATCACGGTGTGTATGTATGATGAAAACATAACAAAGTCACTGAACTATTTGAAAATTATACAGCTGACCAGTGAATATTGTGGGTGTGTGTATGGGGTCTGGTTAGGGACACTGACCTTCATGCAGTGAAATTTGCATATCACTTAGAGTGGGCACTCTTTATCCCTGATTACTTCATATTACTTCATAGTAATATTTCATATTACTTAATAGCTGCATGGACCATGCAACTGGACCATGGACCATGCAGCTCTATAGTGTTTTCTATTGAAAAACCTCAGTAGTCAAAGGTCATCTGTATATGCAGAATGTTCTGTTTGTGTTGAATCAGTGAAAGGTTTATTTATTTGATTCTTACAATTAATTAATTCTGAGAAATGTTCATTTTTAAAATGAGAGAACTGGAATAGTCCTATTAGTGCTCCTCTTGTGTTAAGAGTGCATAAGAATCATCTGGGTTATAGGTTTAAAAAGGAAGATTTCTGAGCCTAACTGCCAGAGATTCTGATTTGGTTACCTAGGTTGGAACCCAGCAAACTGCATTTTTTAAATTGATATATAGTTGATTTACAGTATTGTGTTAGTTTGAGGTGTACAGCAAAGTGATCCAGTTATATATATATATATATATATATATATATTTCAGATTGTTTTTCCATTATGTGTTATTACAAGATATTGAATATAGTTCCCTGTGTTATATAGTAAATCCTTTTTGCATATCTGTTTTATACAGCAATATGAAGTTTTAATAAGCATCTCCCACCTCACTTTTCCCCCCATTCTGAGACCTTGGCCTGCTTTTTGGAAAGCAGTGGTAGTTCTTCAAATCTGGGGAAATTGGATCCACTGGGCCCCATTGTTTAATTAAAATCATAGGCAGTAATGCCTTTTGCAGTCAGATCTACATCAACATTATCAGTTCTATGACCCTGCCTTTTGAGATGTGTGATTCTGAAAGGCACGGAACTCATTTAGGTTCCATGGACACTGTTTTCACCAGTTGAGCCTAAATAAGCATGATTTAGATATCCCTATAAGCCCACCTTATAGGACAACTCACCCACCTGCAAAAGAAGCATACCAGGGCTTACAGAACACAAGTTATCAAGTACTACATATATAATAGTAATAATGCAGAGAAATAAAAATGAGGCAGATAAAGGATGTGCTTGCATGCAAAAATATTACTGCAATGATGACAATTGCATTACTGAGAAATAAAAGCACTTACAGTTTTTCCAGTTTCTTTAATGACCCGAGGTTCTCTATACATGAAATACAATTGTTTTGTAGGTATAAGTGGGTCAGATTTGTGGCATAATTCAGGTTAGTGATTTGACTAATGCGATTATCATACAAATATAAAACACTAAGATTTTTACAAAGAGAGAGGTCTTCCTGAAAGGAGAACAAAAATAGATCATACTTAATTTCTTCTGAAAACTTAAGAGGGTCATTTTCAAGAAAGCTTTTCACTCAATCATTCTACACATTTCATCAAGGTTAGTATAAAAGAAGAGAATTCCCCCATTCTTAGCACAGTCAAAATAAGACCGGAATGATTACAATATTAGTTCTAGGCTTTAGTATTCTGTAATCTTATCAATAAAATCGTGTTTGCTAAGAAAGGTTTTCCCAGTGCAAGCAGTTTTTCTTGGAAGCAGTTAGACTCCTCTGAAGCATCTTAACTTGCTTCAACGTTATGAATCAGGGCTTAATCTTTCTGTAGGACTGGAAATAAACTGTGGTTTGTGATACTGAAAAACTACTGGAACTCATCTAGATATTCAAGAACAATGGATTAATAAGCTATAATAATGCTATTGAAGGGAATACCATTAAATATCCTTTAATTTCTTTAGTAATATCTTGTAGATCTTATTAAAAAATGAGAACAGTACATTCAATATGACCCATTATTGTAAAACTGTATGTCTAGTATGTATAGCATGTATAGGGGGCTTCCCTGGTGGCTCAGGTGGTAGAGAATTTGCTGGGGTAACGCGACAGACCTGGGTTCAATCCCTGGGTCAGGAAAAATCCCCTGAAGAAGGGAATGGCTACCCACACCAGTATTCTTGTCTGGAGAATCCCATGGACAGAGGAGCCTGGTGGACTACCGTCCATAGGGTCACAAAGAGTTGGACATGACTGAGTGACTAACACTTATGTCTAGAAAAAAAAGGGAGAAAGGACATCACCCTTGGTTTTCTCTATGTGAAAGAATTACAAGTCAATTTCTTTCTTTTTATATGTCTTTATATAAATGAACACTACTTACTTTTGAAGGTGAGAAAATAATTAAAGATATTTTAAAGAGTATCATTTTTTGTGTTATGGTAGAGTTAGAGTAAGTAGGCAAGAGGTAGGAGTGAAATTCTGCTCAAAAATATCCCAGCTTTCATTAAGATCTTTTAAAATACAGCCACATCTTGGGAACTAGTTGGCTATACCAATTTCTAAACTTTACAATGCCAATTGTATAAAAATAGGAAATAATTTCAGAGTTCTTACAATTGCATCTATATTTTTATCTGAAAAATTTATATGAGTTATTTTCTTCAGGTATTGTAGAGTGTTTTCTTCTTTTTGGTGTTTAAGATTGCTGTTCTTGGCAATTAGATCCAAAGTCAGTCGAACCATGACTTCTCTATAAATCAAACTCTTGGCAATAGCTCTCTTCTGATACCATGTTAAGAAGCGGTTTAAGTATTGTTTTATGCCCGACTTTCTAAAAAGCAAAGAAAAAAAGGAGTATTATGTACACAGCAATTTAGGCAAATTACCTTGACTTTTTAATATATAAAACTATTGATAAAGTAGTTCACAAACAGTTTTAGGGTTATGTTTTTTCTAAGTTTATAGTTTTAATTCTTTTCATAAAAAGATATAAAACACCAAAATTACATTAAATTACAGTGCACATTCAGTTTTACTTTTAAATCTTTTATTCTCCCTAGTGTTGACTTGTTATTGTGGGTGGATCATTTTTCTCTCTTTGAGTTGAAAAAGACCTCAGTATCATTTAGTGTTCTCCCATTAAGAAATTAAGGGCCAGAGATTTGTCTCAAACCAATCAAGTTAGTGACAGTTGAAAATGAGACCAGGCCTCCTGGCTCCTTTTTTCATAGTACCTTAGTGATCATATTTATTTGTCTTCAAAATCAGAACACATGGTGTGAAACCCTTGAGTATATTCATAGGACAGTGGTGAAAATACTTCTAGATAAGACCAAAATGTGCAAAGCAAAACTTTAATATATTTAGAAGAAAATATAGGTCTTTCTCTTAAAATTAGGATATGGAAGGAGTTAACTTATATGCTACAAGTTTTAAGTTATATGCTTAAAACTTAAGCATATATGTAGTTATATGCTACAAGTTAACTTATATGCTACATGTTTTAAGCCTAAAACACGAACAAAAAATTTCTTGATACATTTTACTACATTAAAAAAATATAGCTTCTGCTTAATAATATCTCTCCACCTTGATTAGTCTTGGTTCCTAACTCTTTTTTTCTTTTATTTTCCAGTTTTTTTATTGTGGTAAAATACAGTTTATCATCTTTACCATTTTGTAAGTGTACAGTTCAGTTTTACTAAATATATTTATAATGTACAGCCACTGCCATAGTCTATCTCTAGTATTCTTTTCAGTTTGTAAAACTGAAGTTCTGTTCCTGTTAAACGATAACTCCTATACTCTCCTGTCTTCCATGGCCCAGGCAACCACTGTTCTACTTTTTCTCTATGATATTGATGATTTTCTAAGAACCTCATATAAGTGGAATAATATTTTATTTTTGTGACTGGCTTATTTCACTTAGCATAATGTCCTCAACATCACTGACTTAATGGACATGAGTTTGGGTGGACTCCGGGAGTTGGTGATGGACAGGGAGGCCTGGTATGCTGCAGTTCGTCTCAAAGAGTCAGACACGACTGAGCGACTGAACTGAACTGAATGTCCTCACGATTCATCTTTGTTGTAACCTAAGTCAGAACTTCCTTCTTTTTTACTATTGAATAATATTCCATTGTATGTGTATACTAGATCTTGCTTACCATTCACCCATCTATAGACATTTGAGTTGATTCTGTGTTTTAACTATTGTGAATAATGCTGCTGTGAACATGGGTGTACAAAAATCTCTTTGAGATGCTGTTTTTAATTCTTTTTGGTATATGTATGTAAGCAGAATTGCTGGATCATATGGTAATTCTACTTTTGATTTTTTGAGTAACTGCTATTGTTTTCCACAGTAGTTTTACCATTTTACATTACAGCTAACTGCACAAGAGTTCCAGTAACTCACATTCTTGCTAACACTTGTTATTATCTGTGTTTTTTATAGTATCCATCCTAATGGGCGTGAGGTAGTATCTCATTGTGGTTTCAATACTCATTTCCTTAATTAGTGATGTTGAGCTTCTTTTTATGTGCTTATTGGCCATTCGCCTATCTTCTTTGGAGAAATGTATTCAAGTCCTTTGCCCATTTTTAATCAGGTTGTTTTCTTATTGAGTTGTAGAACCCTATCAGATGTATGATTTACAAACAGTTTCATGTTCTTTGCCCATTTGAGATTTAAGAGTTCTCTACATATTCTGGATATCAATTCCTTATCAGATATATTACTTGTAAGTATTTTCTCCCATTCTCTGTATTGTCTTTTTACTTTGTTGATAGCACAAATTTTAAATATTTTCATGAAATATAATTTGCCTACTTTTTATCCTGTTGCCTGTTTTGTTGATGTCATTTCTAAGAAATCATTGACAAATCCAATATTGTGGAGCTTTTGCTCTTTGTTTTCTTCTAAGAGTTTTATAGTTTCAGTCTTACATTAAGGTCTTTGATCTGTTTTGAGTTAATCTTTGATTTGATGTTAAATAAGGGTCTAACATCATTCTTTGCATGTGGATATACAACTTTCCCAGCTTCATTTGTTGAAAAGACTGTGCTTTCCCCATTGAATGATCTTGACACCCTTGTCAAAAATCATTTGATTGTATATGTGAGGATTTAATTCTCTTTCTATTTTATTCCATTGGTTTATGTCTGTCTGTATTCCACTACCATGCTGTTTTGATTGCTATAACTTTGCAGTAATCAGGAAGTGCAAGTCCTCTAGCTTTGTCCTTCCTCAAAATTGTTTTGGATATATGGACCTCTTGAGTTTCTTATGAATTTTAGGATGCATTTTTCTATTTATTTAAAAAAAAAAACCAACCCATCATTGGGGTTTAGATAAGGCTTGCAGTGAGTCTGTAGATTGCTTTGGGTATTACTGACATCTTAACAATGTTAAGTCTTCCAGGCCATGAAGAAGGGATATGTTTTCATTTATTTCTGTCTCTTAAATTATTTTCCAGCAGTGTTGTATAGTTTTCACCTTTTTGGTTAATTCCTAAGTGTTTTATTCTTTTTGATGCTTCTGTAAATGGATTTTTAAAAACAAAACTTCCTTTTCAGGTTGTTCATTGTTTGTGTATAGACATGCAACTGATATTTGTTGACTTTTTATCCTGCTACTTTGCTGAATTCATTTATTAGTTCTGACATTTGTGTGTGCATATATATAATCGTTAGCATTTCTATGGTTTAGATCCTGTTACCTGCAAAGAGAGATAATTTTTACTTCATCTTTTCCATTTTGGATGCCTTTTATTTCTTTTTCCTGCCAAATGTTTCTGTTCACTTTGGGTTTCTCATATGTGGCTTTTATTATGTCTAGGTAGTTTCCTTCTATTACTAGTTAGTTGAGTATTTTTATTGTGAAAATTTAGGTTGTTGATTTGTCAAATGTTTTTTCTGCATTATCTGTTTTTTCTTTCATTCTGTTAATATAAAATATTATGTAAATCAGTTTTTATGTGTTGACCATCCTTGTATTCTAGGGATATATCCCACTTATTCATGGTGTATAATCTTTTTAATATGCTGCTGAATTTGGTTTGGTAGTGTTTTGTTGAGCGTTTTAGCATGAGTGGGTATAAGGGATATTGGTCTGTAATTTTCTTTTTTTTTATTTCAGGCTTTTGCATATTCTTAATTTTTTCTTTAACTTTTTATTTGGTTTGGGGTGTAATTGATTTAACTAACAATATTGTGATAGTTTCAGGTGAATAGCAAAGGGATTCAGTCATACATATACATGTGTAATTTTCTTTTGTTGCAGTGTCTTTGACTTTGGTATCACAGTAATGCTGGCCTCACAGAATGAGTAAGAATGTGTTCCCTTCTCCTCAAAGTTTTGGAAAACTTGAAGAAGGTTTGGTGTTTTTCTTAAAATGGTTGGTTGAGTCCACCAGTGGAGCCATTGGGGTCAGGGCTTTTCTTTGTTGGGAGATTTTTGATTACTGATTCAATTTCCTCCCTAGTTACATGTCTATTCAGATTTTCTATTTCTTTATGATTTAGTGTTGGTAGGTTTTATGTTTCTAGGATTTTTTTCTATTTAGGTTATCCAGTTTTTGACATACAGTTGTTTATAGTATTCTCACTTTTCATTTCTGTAGATTGATAGTAATGTCCCCACTTTCATTTCTCATTTTAGTTCTTTTTTTTTTTCTCAGTCCATCTAGCTAAAAGTTTGTCAATTTTGTTGATCTTTTCAAAGACCTAGCTTTTGGTTTCATTGGTTTTCTCTATATTATATTCTCTATTTCATTTATCTGTGCTCTAATCTTCATCATTTTCTTCTTTCTACTAGCCTTTTCAGTTTCTTAGTTCAGTTGCTCAGTTGTGTCCAACTCTTTGCGACCCCATGAACCACAGCACGCCAGGCCTCCCTGTCCCTCACCAACTCCTGGAGTCCATCCAAACCCATGTCCATTGAGTTGGTGATGCCATCCAACCATCTCATCCTCTGTTGTCCCCTTCTCTTCCTGCCCTCAATCTTTCCCAGTATCAGGGTCTTTTCAAATGAATCAGCTCTTCACATCAGGTGGCCAAAGTATTGGAGTTTCAGCTTCAACATCAGTCCTTCCAGTGAACACCCAGGACTGATCTCCTTTAGGATGGACTGGTTGGATCTCCTTGCAGTCCACGGGACTCTCAAGAGTCTTCTCCAACACTGCATTTCAAAAGCATCAATTCTTCAGCACTCAGCTTTCTGTATAGTACCACTCTCACATCCATACATGACTACTGGAAAAACCATAGCCTCGACTAGACGGACCTTTGTTCACAAAGTAATGTCTCTGCTTTCTAATATGCTGTCTAGGTTGGTCATAACTTTCCTTCCAAGGAGTAAGCGTCTTTTAATTTCATGGCTGCAATCACCATCCACAGTGATTTTGGAGCCCCCCAAAATAAAGTCAGCCACTGTTTCCACTGTTTCCCCATCTATTTCCCATGAAGTGATGGGACCGGATGCCACTATCTTAGTTTTCTGAATCTTGAGCTTTAAGCCAACTTTTTCACTCTCCTCTTTCACTTTCATCAAGAGGTTCTTTAGTTCTTCTTCCCTTTCTGCCATAAGGGTGGTGTCATCTGCATATCTAAGGCTATTGATATTTCTCCCTGCAATTTTGATTCCAGCTTGTGCTTCATCCAGCCCAGCATTTCTCATGATGTACTCTGCATATAAGTTAAATAAGCAGGGTGACAATATACAGCCTTGACCTATTCCTTTT